TTTGATTATGGCTCCACCTCTTCTTGCTCTTCTCTATTACCCGCAAAACACCTAATCCTGATCTGGACCCGACCCATCTTTTGGAGATTAAGGTATCGAACAAAACCTTGAGATCTTTTTTAGTCCAACAACATCAAAGATCTTTTAGTTTGTAATGTTCCAAATTACAGACAAGTTGTTTTTTGGGTAGGGCAAAGGTAACATTGTGCCCTTTAGAACTAATTGTAAGGGAAAAGGGTGTAAACCAAAAGTATTGAGACAGTTCTGGTCATGATTTCAGTATATTAGCTATACTCGTTTAACACTAGGAATTGGGCAATGTTGTACTTAGAATACACTCTCTCTTTGGCATTACGTGGAGTAAAAAGCTAACAAAAAAAACATTGAAACACAAGCCAGTATGTTTTGAGGGTGCACTGTGAAATTTTGGAAAAAATGAGGGTGCATTTCACTTTTTTGTTATCTTCAATTAGCTGCTTGTTTTGCCCATTAGATTTTTTTTCTCGAAATGACAAACCACGAGTCACAATTAGCAAATCAAATTGGTCCTAAAACGTTGTAATGAATGGAAGTTGTGCAATATATATATATATATATATATATATATATATATATATATATATATATATATATATATATATATATATATATATATATATATATATATATATATATATATATATATATATATATATATATAAGGGCAGTTCAAAAGGTAAAAAATAGATTATATAAACTTTACTATTCACAAAGCTGAGTTTCAATGGGTAGTACTCGTTCCGGTCCTATAAACTTTTCTTATTTTGACTTTTTTGGTCAAATAGTGACACTGTTTGATCATAAACTGAAAACAATCTAAATAATTAAATGCAATTTTAAATGCAAAATTATATCTTAAGATTAATCCATTTATATTGAATTTTTATTATAATTATATATATGCTTTTTTTGTAATTTATGATCAAAGAGTGTCATTTTTTAACTAAACAGAAATCAAAATAGAAAAATGTGTTTAGGACCGGAGGGAGTATATAAATTCACATTTCTAAATTTTTTTTATTTAAATAACTTCTCCGTACAAGACTCTTAAGGACATGAATAGGATCTAGTTATATCAATGAGTATTTGTCCACTTTTGAATTTTTCGATTAAAATTTGTGAAATTTGACCTAAAATTAAATAAGAATGACATTAGATATTGAAAAAAAATAGTTTTCTTAGATTTATTATATCAAATATTTTCAAAATATTATTTCATCTAATTAATATACAATTTATATTTTATTTAATTATAGGTCACATGTTGAAAATAGTTGACCAAAAAAAGTTAAAACTAGACAAATACTCTGGGACAAAGGTACTAATACGTATTGTAATTTTTTAAAATAATTACACAGGATTTCTATATTTTTTTGTTAGAATGTACTCCCAATAATTATGAACACAAATTTAAAATAGACATATTCAAATAAACAATAAAAATTTTCATACTATTTACATAAATATGAATATAATATGAAAAATATAAATTGCGTATATGTATACAAATTAATTACTTAATTTACAATCATAAAATATAATAAAAGTGTAAATTTAAAGTAGAGCCATGCTAGGTGTACCCCATTTGTCCCCCACCCCTTTCTCTACCACTCATTTTAACCCCATTTTTATTTATTTATTTTTTTTTAATTTCTTGCCCATTTTTGTGGTAATGGAGGGGGTAGGACAAATGGGGTACATCTTTGGTGTACTCCTAGCATTTTTCTTTAAAGTAAGTTGCTAAATCACTGTTTGAAATTATAAGAGCAATGCTAGGGGTACACCAAATGTGTACCCCATTTGTCCCCCACACCTCTCTCTACCACTCAATTTTATTTTATTTTTATTTATATAATTTTTTTAGTTTCTTGCCTTTTTTTGTGGTTATGTAGGGGGTGGGGGACAAATGGGGTACACCATTTGGTGTACCCCTAGCATTTTTCAAATGGAAAATGCTAGGGGTACACCAAAGATGTACCCCATTTGTGCCCCACCCCCTCCATTACCACAAAAATGGGCAAGAAATTAAAAAAAATTAAATAAATAAAAATGGAATTAAAATGAGTGGTAGAGAAAGGGGTGGAGGACAAATGGGGTACACCTTTGGCGTAGCCGTAGCATGGCTCTTTTCAAATATATAGCTCTCAACCTTTAGCCGTCTTTGGAGATGCTCTTAACAATGTAGTTCTCCGTAATACAGTAAAATATTATGGGTTCACTCCACCTATTCAATATGTTACTGTTTGGTAAAAAATTTAAAACATATACTCCTCTGTTCCTAAATTAATTAAAAACATACAATTTTTTTCTTTCCTCTCAATAAATTTTGTTTGTTTACGCGATTTTATTAAGTATTTGATAAAATAAAATATTCTTGTCACCTCTTTTGTAGAATTTTTGACGTAATTTTTTAATATGTAATTTTTATATCTTATTGATATACCAATTTGTAAATAAAATGATTTCAAAAAGTAGAAAATTTTATTCCGTAACCTGTAATTTGTAATCAAATTGGGGATGGAGGAAATATATGGACCCAACCATAATACATGAGTAGCTTCCACAACAAGCTTCGATGATGAATGAAAGTGAAATACATATTTACAAATCAAGAAAGTTAATTTCAAATAAATTTTACCTATTCAATAAATTAATGTTTGGTATAAATTTAAAAACATATGGACCCAACATCTAATATGGAGTACATGAGTAGTTTTCACCACAAGTTTTGATGTTGAATGAAAGTGAACCACATATTTGCAAAGACAACATCCCAGAGTCATTTAGAACCACTTTTTAATACGGAGTAATAGATTTTTAATTACTGTTCAATGTTACCCACTTTTTAGTAATGTATTTTTTTGTACGGTGGGGTTCTAGTGACACTGAAGTACGGTGCTACTCCGGTGCCACTGGCATTTTGGAGCACCTCCGGTGCTCCGTTCGCAAAATTAACGGTTCCTACCCCTCCTAACCCACCCCCTAAACCCCCCACCCTACCGCCGCCCCTACACCCCACCCCCACCCCGCCGTAAGCCCCCCACAAAATGTGTGGCTATTATACAACGCATAATAGCCACACATTTTGTGGGGGGCTTACGGCGGGGTGGGGGTGTAGGGGCGGCGGTAGGGTGGGGGGTTTAGGGGGTGGGTTAGGAGGGGTAGGACCCGTCAATTTTGCGAACGGAGCACCGGAGGTGCCCCAAAATGCCAGTGGCACCGCTAGTGGCACCGTAATCCGGTGTTACTAGAACCCCACCGTTTTTTGTATCTATAAATTAACCATTGGGGGAAGGTTCCCATGACATTCGGAACCAATGTCATGGATGACCCGGGGGCACTCCGGTGCCCCGTTCGTAAAATTGACGGTTCCTACCCCCCGGTAAACCCCCTCACCCCGCCCCGACCCGAACACACCCCCCACCCCCTTCAATTGCACCCCACAAGTCGATTTTGACTTTAGAGTCAAATTTTGACTCCAATGTCAAAATCGACTTGTGGGGTGCAATTGAAGGGGTGGGGGCGTGTGTTCGGGTCGGGGCGGGGTGGGGGGTGTGTTCGGGTCGGGGCAGGATGGGGGGGGGGGGTTTACCGGGGGGGTTAGGGGGGTAGGAACCATCGATTTTACGAACGGAGCACCGGAGCTCCGCCGGGTCATCCCATGACATTGGGTCCCAATGTCATGGGAACCAAGGTGTTCCTTTATTCCATTTTCAGTACGTGCGCGCTTCAATTTAATTACTCCGTATATCACAAGTGTCAAGAAAATTTGGCTAGAATTTTCTCAAAAAACTCCCCCTCTTTCGATATAGCTCGATGCTTTCTTTCGTACGAAACCTATATAAATACATCCTCCTATCTCATTCAAAACAATTAGTGCCATCAGCGGATAGCCAAAAATCTGATTATCGTCCACATTCGTATCTGTTTAAAGAGGAAATATCTGCATCCGTTTTAAATGGATATTATCCGTATCCGATTACTAAACAGATACGGATTTGGTAATTGTATATCTGATCTGTTTAAAATCCGATCGAATATGCATCCTTTTAAATAATCGTTTATCCGAATCCGATTAAGGATATCCGATTACTAAACAGATACGGATTTGTTTCTCTATTGATATTTCAAAATATAAGGCATTTTTATATACAAAATAAATGTGTAGACACATAAAAATATGTACAGACATATAAAAATTGTGTATATGTGTGCTGTGTATATCTTATTAATACTACACTCTCATAATTCAAATTTGAAAATTATACTCTGTATTTGTTGATTGGGGAGCCTCTTTTGGTTTGATTTCTTGTCCCAAACAAATGCTAAAAGCCAAAACACCGTTCATCCCGCACAGATGCTTGTCCTCTTCATGTTTGTGCATGCTTGAGGTGATAATCGATTATCACTTCTTGATAATCGATTATTTGCCCAGGCAGCTTTGTACTTGCTTTTCAGAATGGTCTGATAATCGATAATCATATGTTGATAATCGATTATCATGGTTTCGCTTCCAAACCAAGAATCTTCTGAAAAGTCTGATAGTCGATTTTCAGAATTTGATAATCGATTATCAGTGTTATTGTTGCCCTCCAACGGATATATTTTTTGTAGAAAATGCAATAATCAATTATGGAAACCCAATAATTGATTATTTAGGTGTTTTTCAGGACAACTTATTTTTATAATGGACAAGCACTCCTAAACTCCCCTATCTTGAGGTTATAATCCTCCATTCAATTCTTCCTCAAATTTATATATGTTTAGAGAAAACTAATTATTTTCAAGAGAGTGTTCTTGTCATCCATTAGAGCTAAACTTTTTATCATTTTTACTCTTGTGAGAGTTTATGTTGAGAGGTTGAAGAAGATTGTTCTTCTTGTCGTTCAAGACTTATGTGACTTAAGTCTTGGGTGTGAAGTCTTGTAGAGGGCATATCTACGAGCAATTGTGTTGAGGCTTGTGTCAGTTGTGTGACTCAAGCTCTCGAGTTGTAAACGGTTTGTTAAGCACTCGTAAGCTTAACTAAAGTAGTGGTAGCTTCGAGAGAGTCTCTCGGGGAACAAGACATAGCCACACGTTGTGGTGAACCAGTGTATATCGGTGTATTCTTTTCCTTCTCTCTTTTATTTCTGTTGCACTTTCGTTTATCTTATTTAATCTTGTGAAAATCGGTAATCGTTCTCAACAACTCTATTCAGCCTCCTCTAGAGTTGCACGCATTGTCTAACACTGCGATACCTAAAAGGTACTCTACACCTTGGTCTTCTTTTGTAGAAGGGGGGACTTGGCATGTCTATATGCCTATTCAGATCCTAATTGGGCAAATGACAAAGATGATTAGAAATATACTACCCTTGCATGCTCATGCTTGGCTCCAACCTCATATCTTGGTGTACGGAAAAGTAGACCCGTTTTTCTAGATCTTCTACTAAGGCCGAATTAATAATCACGCCATGGCTACAGGTGTGACATAAGCTATGTGGCTACGGTACAATGAATCCACTATCTGTGTGACCAAGAATTCAGTTCTGCATGACCGTATGAATTGACGCATGTTGGATGAGACTACCATTTTGTGCGAGATAATTACAATCATGGAAGGAACCATGACTACACTTCATGTTCCATGCAGTTAACATATTTTCTAACATAGCCAATGCCGTTCGAGTACTTATGCTCTAAGCTGCCCCTTGTTTCTGTCGATCAGCTTGCGGGGGATAATAAGAAAAAAACTATTATTAATTACGTACCTTCCTTATTCTATTATTTTCTTATTGTATTGTTACCATAATTCTTATTCTAGTACGATTAGAATCTTCTCTTGTAATCCATATATATATATATATATATATATATATATATATATATATATATATATATATATATATATATATATATATATATATATATATATATATATATATAAGGAGGTAATCTTTCTTTACTCAATGATATCAATTATTATCAAATTCTAAAAATTTGATATAGAAATATTATGAGACCCACACTATATTATTATTTTCAAAAATAATAGAATGTACAAAATTTATTTTATGTCAACAAAAAGTGAAGTTGACTTTGAAATGTGGACTAAATAAGAGTGACACATATCAATCACGTACGGGGGTATACGGTACAACATGGTGGGTTTAAAACATTTGGTCGAATCTAGTACAAGATATGTTTGTAATTTGACAAATTCAACGAAGTCACTCATGACAACCACCCTAATGTTATGGGAGAAGAAAACTCTGAAGAGCACCTCACCAAGAAAACAAATTAAACGCGTTAAGCAACCTTGAATAAACATCGAGTAATGACAAAAGAAATATGCCAAGTGTCTCCCAATCAACGGGGACACCAACTGAAACATGATTATTGTATTACTTCTTTAGGCAAAGTGATATGCTTAAGGCATGGGTGACTTAAGTGGGGTGCACACATAAGTCACATAAGGTACAATATATAAGACACATCGCCACAATTAAGGCATCCCTGTATTTCGCCCATATATAGAGTTACATTAGTTTTTGATACCATCATTCTTACATGGACTATAATTAATTGTGTGTGTGTGCTTAAAATTATGGTAAAGGGGTATTAAAGTTGACCTCAGCTCATTGGTTATTTGGTAGGGAAGAACTCTTTAAATAAGAGTAAAAAATTATACAAATATCAAAAAAGGAGTCATAGATCTTTTTAAAATCAAAACAAGAGTTCATACTGTTATTGTTACACTGTCACACGCACCAAATTGTCATATTACAACTGCATGCCACACTATCATTGCCACATTGTCATTTGTCGTCGCCGGCCCCTAGAATGTCGTTGCAGACCATCGATCGATAGTTGAGTAAATGTACAACCATATAACATTGTCATCACTAGTTCATCACAGTGGCAACATGTATTCTTACATCACATTGTCATTATAGTTCTATTTTGCTCCTAAAAGACTTAGAACTTCTATTTTGATATTTTTTCATGTTTTTTTACTCCTATCGATCAAGGGTGATTTTTTTATTTGGTATGACTATCCTAAAAAGACTAAATTCTACAGCCAACCCTTCAAGTTAATGCATTATGCATTGTCTGTTTTTCAACTTTTAAAAGTCCACGAATAGTCTTTCATGTCATGATAGTGTTGCACAATTGATTCTTCCGTTAACTTTATCGTGAATCCATGTACTTTTGCCATTTTTCATTAGTAATACATGTGAGAAACTTTCTTTTTTCATACAATTAAGTCATATTTCATATATAAGTCCATTTTTAATAATAATAATAAGTTACTTACTTTTATTATGTCGATTTTTTTTATAATAATAAGTTACTCTTTCTTTTAATAGTCTATTTTAGTAAAAAAAAACTCTTTCCATCCTAAAGCTTGTGTGAAATCTTGACTTCTGACAAAAATAGAGCGAGTGTTAAATTTTCTTGATATAGTTTTAATTGAAATTGTAAGCAAAGATTAACCCTAATTAATTATAAAAAGTTAAAACTTGACAAATATTTTAGTACTAGGGTTAATCTTCGATGTATTAGTCCTAATAAAATTTTATTGGAAAAAATTGCCCGCTCTACCTTTATGAAAAGCCAAAAGTTTGACACAAATTTTAGGACATACAGTAGTAAATATTTAATAAAATTAGATCAATACTATTAAAAAATTTGGACTAATAAAAGTAAGAGTTATTTATTTCTATTGAAAAAACAGACCTACATAAAATATGACTCAATTGTATGGGGAAATAAGGTTCCTCACATGTATTTATAATGAAAAATGAAAAAAATATATACATGGATTATTAACGGTAAAGTTAATAGAAGGACCAGTTACGTTGTGCAATGCATTAACTTGAAGGACTAACAACGCAATTTAATCCCCATAAAAAATCATCTATTTTTTTAATGAGTGACTATGTTTGATGTAAATCAAGGCCTACATCATGGTGTAAATAAAACGAGTTTACACCTTGTACAACAAAGCTTGCATCATGGGCACGTCTAGCCCTAATTATGCACTCCACATCACTACAAGAAAAATCTTCTTAGAAACCAGAGTTCACAACGGAGGAAGTACCCCCTTTCTTCCATATTTAAGCTTTGTTTTCTTTTTGAAATTAGCGTCGTCTTGCAATAAAATTTTCATTTCTTTTAAGTAATCGTTTACGTTGTTCAATTTATTTTCTTTTTCTGGTAAATTCCAACTACACAATTTTATTTTCTCGATCATGCATCGTACTTCTTTTAAATTTCGTCAAAGTCAAAGGGGGAATTGAAATAATAGACGGAGCAATATAAGACTATGGGGCGTGGTTCATTAGTCTTCTGCCAACTCAACTCCACATTAGTTTTTCATTTTAGTTCTCCTAACATTCCCCTTTGTGGGGCGTGGTTCCCCCCTTCCTTCCCCTTTTCATTCTAATTTTTAATACTTCGTATTACCTTGTAACACATATTGTAATTAAAATTAATTAAAGTAGAAACATAAAATACAATTAAATAATACAAACTTAAAAAAACTGAAAACAAATATTAAAAAAAGAAATAGAAAAACTTAAAAATTGAGAGAATTGTGTAATCAAAAAAATTAAAAAACTAAAAAATAGTTAAAAACTAAAAAAAGAGGAAAAGAAGCAACAAAATAGAAGAAGAAGAGAGATGTGAAGGAAGAAACAAAGAATAATTTAAAGAGGGAAAGCAACGAAAAAGGAACCCCGTTTGGTACACGGAATTCAAATTATGGAATTGGAATTGAGGACTTCAATTCCAATTCTGGTGTTTTGTAGCACAAAAATTATGTGGATTTGGAATTGGTAATGCAAAAAATGAATTGGAATTGATGAATTCAGTTCTATGAAATTGAATCCCATGGAATTTTAATTCATATTCAATTCCAATTCCATCAATTCCGTATACCAAACGGACCCACATAAAAAACGGGAGGAAAAACCCGTTTTTCTCTTTCGCATCGGAGGGGAGCGGGGGAGGTACCATATTCTCCTTCTTCCCGCTGGTGCCACGTCGTCTTCCCGCTCCCCCTTCCCCTCCCATACCCTAGAGCCTAATTGTGATGATCAGTGTTGAAGATGTGAGCTGACTGGCAGCCTATTGGAAGAAGCCAGCAGTAGTGCACTTCGCACCCACCAGTGCTTAGATTGTTAACTAATCAACGATGGTCCACCACATTGAACTCAATGGGGGCGTGCCCCCACACCAATTATCATCTCATACCGTGCATGCGTACGGTCCTTCTTTCGCTATACGGAAGACGAAACAAAGGTTTTGTTTTGTAGCGACACATCATGTCTATTGTGGGCAAGAAAAGCTCTCCAAAAAATAAAGTAAGAGTAAAATATATTTCAAAATAAAAGTAAGAAAAATCTATCTATTATTTAAAAAGCCATGGATTTCCATTGGTCTTTTTCCGCCCAATGCTGTTGGCTATTACATAAGGTATGTGCTTATAAAATTGGTAAGTATTAAATGCTTTTATTTTTTGATATGGTATGTGTTAAATGCTAAACGTGTATATTAATACCGTGTTTACATTCTTCAATCTATATTAATACACAAAATTATATTCTAAACTTTCCATTATTATTCTTTTTTAATACGCAGTATTAATATTCTTATTTAAAATTTATTAATTTTATTTTTATTTAATAGCATGGCACCGTGCTTCTATTTTAAAATTTTAAAATATATTAGGTAATAAAACTTTGTAATTTTATTATTATTGAAAATTTCATGAATTAGGTATAATTCATAAAAGACAACACAATTTTTTACTATTGAATAATATAAACGGTATTAATAAGGAATGTTAATAAGGAAAGCACCATGTTTACATTCACGAAATTATATTCTAAACTTTCCATTATTATACTTATTTAATACGCGGTACTAATACATGGTATTAATACACAATATTAATATTCTTATTTAAAACTTTGTAATTTTATTTTTATTTAATAGCATGGCACCGTGCTACTATTTTAAAATATAT